TGTCATGTCCTCGATAAGAAGCAGCCTGGAGGGCATTTCCATATTCTCCACCCTGAGCATTGAAATTGGCACCTCTCTGTAGCAACGTATTTACAGCATCATTGTGGCCATTCTGTGATGCCAACATTAAAGCCGTTTCCCCGTTGCCATTCCTGTCGTCGATGGTATATGCTCTACTTGTGATGATCCATTCCAATACATGAGCATGCCCATTGAATGCTGCCACATGTATCGCATCCATTCTGGGCTCTCGTTCATGTTTATTAACAGCCCCCCAAAATGTGGTGAACCAGAACTCCAATCTTGACGTGGTGCAATATAAATCATACATAAGATGAGTCATTGCTTGCTGTTGTGATGAGCCCATCTCTCGAGCATGGTCAGGCCAGTGCTCTGCTGAATATGACAGAAAATATTGAATATCAGACTCTGCTTGTTCTTGATCCTCTTCCAGATCATCCATTAGCAAATATCGAATACATATTTGTGAAATTTGGCTTTCAGCATCTTGCCTGCTGAAAGAGTATTTTGAGGTTGGTTGATTGTCAATGTTTCTCCCGAGAAGAAATTCCCTGGCTGTCTGGTGTATGAGATATATCTTCGAGTTGCTGATGAAAACAAAGAGCCCACATAATTGGCGTATATTAATAAGAAGCCTAGAAGGATCATATCCAATTCCTGCAGCCGTTTTTGAGTTGGGGCTGTCAGCCACACCCAATGCCATAGACATTTCCTTTATTGTCAAAGGGCGCCGCGCGCCAACAATAATCTGTAATATCTTCTTAACAATATCTACCCGACCAGATGGAACTCGATTGAGGATTTTCTGATACGCGGCATTCACAGATCGGGGTACTAGCTCAATTGATTCCTTCTCTGGCCGAAGGCTCTCCCGAAATGTGGTACGAATGTCGTCAATCGCCAGATATAACCAGAGATACGTGCGGTGTTGCATTTGGAGAAGCTGCTGCTCAATTCGCTGCTCCACATCGGCTGAGAGTCTTGATATTTTAGCCAACTCTTTCACTTTTACCTTCACAACGAGATCAATTTCCTTATGAATCAGATTATTCTCCTGCTCGCCTTGCAAATGTATATGTGGGAATTGATCTATAATAGGCTGAAAGCCGGACCGGATCTCATCATAAGGACGGCTGGTAATGAGAAACTTCAACCAATTTTTCTGAGTTGATGTACCAGTTCCGGAATAAAAGTCATTAAGTTTTTGAATAAGTCGATCCTGGTCATCTGGGCAACATTCATCGAGCGCATCAAGCACACAAACGGTCTTTAGCGATGTGGGGTCCGATGTCGCTGCCATAAAAATTCGCCAAAGTTCACCAACTTCCTGCCTGAGTTTATCCCCATTCTTTGTCCATGACTGTATTGCATGTTGTAATAGATTCGGCTGTTGACTAAAGAGCTGATGTAATATTGCACAGAGAGCTGTAGCAAAATTATTCTGCTCATCGTTATCCTTGAAAAAAAAGTAACACACTGACACTGCTGAGCTGGATTCTTCAAAAACATCATCGATAAGTGATTTAGACAGAACAGACTTCCCGCAGCCGGGGTCTGCCGATATCCAGAGAAGATCATCGCAGTTACTGGTCCACCAATCAAGGTAATATGGATTCTGCAAAGCCCATTGACAGGTTCCTGATACTCGATCAGGATTAATATCCTTATGCTGCTCATAACTCGATGTCTTAAATACTTGGTGACACTTCTGTTGCTGGTCTGTCAAGACTTGATTTATTCGTTCACTGTGATGCTTTTCTTGTTGCTTATATGCATCATCCAATCGTCGATTAGTGCCTTTAATCTCTTCATTCAAAATTTCTAGAGAATTATCAGTAAGTAAATCATGTCTTCATTTAACGCTAGACTAATCTAGATCTGACTTACGACAAACATCCCTCACTAGGATTTCTTGTACCACTTGGCCCTTTGGTATATATCCCAACAGTTCTTTGGTGTATGATGCCGCTGCTAAAGCAGCATATCCTTGCCACTGCTTATTCTTGTGAGAATCAGAATAGTCGCAAATGCCGCGGATTACAATGCATGGGAAATCCAACATTAATCCTGCTGCCTCCATCTCAAAACACAGTGCCCCAGTTTCTAGACGAAGCTGTTCTCTTGTACATCCGTGCTTGATAACAGAATTCCCAGATGCAATGATACCATAGTGTGGTTGTGGTGCATCATCCTCACGCTGATGTCTTACCTCTTCCCACTCCTTTGGGCATAAATCACAACTTTCTGCTCCAGATGTATGGTCGTATTGGGCCTGAAATAATCGGTCGCTCTGTGGAAGAGGTTGGGTAAAGGTCTTACGGGTTCGTGCGGTCCTCCCGATGGCGTGTTGGAGATATGTCGGGTAGCAGGGATCATCAGTAAGCTCGGCAGTCCTCATAGCATTGACTGCTGTCAACAGCGATCTAGGAGGACTGTTCAGAGACCCAGTTCGAGTAAATGTGCCATCCACTCCAACCTTCCCCATATCATATTGAAGCACTCCTCCACAGGTGCCCGTTGGACAACTGATCACAATATCACCAAGCCGTATGTCGTGAGTGGTGGATGGGATTCCGCCTCCAACTCCGACCATCAACCCGACCCGCAATGACTTTGAGAATGTACGGATCATGTTGTTCGCAACTATAGTAGCTGCTGTATTACCATATTGTCCTGCAGGCAGACAAGCGATCACGATATAGTGTTTGCCGATTCGACCCAATGTGTAGATGTTGGAATCCATTCCATCCTGCTCATCAGGAGCTCCGAAATTTTCATCCAGCATTTCCTTGGCTGCTGCCGCCTCAACAGGAAGGGCGCAGATCCATCCCACCTGAAACTCTTCCCGTGGAGGACAGGACATGACAAATAGAGTCTGATAAAAATTTACAGTGGTGTGCCGCTCTGATATGGGAATAATTGACAAATACCTGAAAGGACGTTGGAATACAGCTCTAACTCCCTTTTGAACAGATGAGGGAGCAGATTGACTTGGAGGGGAAAAAAAGCGAAAAAAAAAATCCAAGACTAGTATTTTCTGTCAAATTTCAGCCTTGTCGTAAGAGAACGTCAATGACAGCTAGCGGCAAGAGGCGAAATATTATTGGCAGTGTGTTGTTCAACATCCTTGTTGGTAGGCTGAGCACTCACTGCCAATGCCACTAATGTACTGCGGCACAGTCACTCCTATTCCGTCGCCCGACATAAGAACACTGAGAGACACAGCAGTTCACAACCCTGCACTTTGTCATGGCCAAACAGATACTCAGGATATTCTTTATTTCATAACTACCGCAGTACCACTACATAGACGAATATCTTACACCGATTATCGTTTGGTGATGCCCCACATATTCATTAAGGATCAAAGACCTCAATACATTTCGCCGTAGTGAGTCGTGACCTTGAATAGTGCGCTTTGAAGCCTTGATTCCCCATTGAAAATATATGGTACCAGCAGTTAGATGTTACAAATAGCTGTATAGCCATCTAAAGGCCAATCACATCCACTGCCTGTCTTGGGGATATATTCACCTCGAGTGTATTGTCTGTTGACAACCCCCGCCTCGGTTTATTGGCTGTTCTCCAACGCATCAGTTTCGGGTTGACCAATTGTTTCCAATCACTCGCGCACGGACCTTCAGCCCCAGTTTCGGCGTCAACCTCCCCAATATTCGGTGTCGTAGCTCCGCACCATGACAGTATCTACAGTTTTGATGAAACTGGCTTTGCAATGGGCCTAATGTCTGCGGCTAAGGTAGTTTACCAGAGTAGATTTATCTGCGAGGCCTTCCCTACTGCAGCCAGGGAACCGGTAATGAATTACTTCTATTGAGTGTATTAGCCCTAGGGGGCCTCTTCCACCCAGTATTGTTTTTAAAGGCAAGGCCCACCTTGATGGCTGGTACGAGATGACGTATAGGATTGAATGCAGATGGCTGGACTACTGATGAGACTGGTCTACGTTGGTAGCAGCATGTATTTATATCTGTTACAAGCCGGACTGTTGGTCGATATCGACTTTTAGTAGTTATTGGCTGTGACAGCCTTTCGATATGAACTTATTGGCGCTATCTATGTAAAATCATGAGCGTGAGGGGAAGAGCAGAATCAGGTGCGGGGGGCGACGCGCCTACAGAAGTATGTTAACTCGGAAAAACACTGTTTAGATAATCTTCAGTCCCGTGATCTGATTGGTCATCCGAAATGATATCCAGCCCGAAGTCCTGCAAACCGTCACACCTCTCAGGGCTGAGGGTCAAAAGCGATACTGAGGCTATCGGCGATGGCTTAAACTTACTAGAAATTCCATTGAAAACAAAAAAAAAAAAAAAAAGTGAAGAGACGTGCTGAATTTGTCAATTCTGACTGGGGATTACAGATTATGCTCCACAGCACAAAACCACAGTGGCAGAAACTCTACACCTTGTGGCTAACATATTATGGTTGTTTCTGAGTGCCTTAGCAAGACTGCGTGGATGGAGAGCTCGGTATCTCCTTAGACACTAGGTATGAATCGCGCGCCTGGCCTACGCCCTGAAATCATCCCTATCCAACCCATGAAGTTCCTTTGAGGGTTGCTTAGGCTTTTGATTTCTGAATTTAATCTGCTATTTTCAGCTGAAAACCCGCCAAATCTGGAAGCTTTTAAGACCGCAATTCTGCGTGCTACAGTTCGTTAGGAAAATACTTCAGCGTTGCAGATAAGGAGTCAAACATGCGTGAAAGAATTTACAAACATATTATAGGACCGTCCAGCATGCCTAGAATGAGACTCGAGAGGAAGTGCAGCCTTGTGGTCAGGTGCCCAAACTGCTCCCTGCACCCAAGTTGCCCAGCCCCGCCACAAGGCTGAATGCTGTCACGTCTTCACCTAAGTCCAGTGTCTAGCCAATTCTCTTCTTCGCTCAAAAACTCATACCTACGTCAAGTGAACCTATTTAGCTTTTGATACTGTTTAAGTAGGTCGAATCCATTCAACTTTACCAAAAGACCGGGCTAACTAAACGTTATCAATTAAAGTCGATCAGTTTGTCACTTTGGTCACCCCACTCCATCCTCTGAACAAGCTTCGATACAACATACCTCATCCGTTCTGGCAGTCGACTTCAGGGATGGCTACCGAGCCTCGAACACATATTGACTACACGGTGGGATGGGTTTGCGCGCTGCCTAAGGAGTTCATCGCTGCAGAGGCAATGCTCGATGAAACACACCAAGATCTTCCCAGGCAACGCAATGACCATAATTCGTATACTCTCGGGCGTGTGGGTGTGCACAATGTTGTTGTGGCGTGTTTGCCGAAAGGCGAAATCGGCAACAATAATGCAGCAACGGTCGCAGCTCGGATGACCTCTACTTTCCCATCGATTAAATTTGGCCTGATGGTTGGTATTGGCGGTGGAGTACCAAAGTCTGTCAGGCTAGGTGACGTGGTAGTGAGCACCCCCACAGATGAGTTTGGCGGAGTAGTACAGTGGGATTTTGGGAAAGCCCAACAAGAGGGTCTTTTCAAACGCACAGGAGCATTGAACCGTCCTCCTACGGAGCTACTCTCTGCGTTGACAAAAATTGAGAAGGAGCATACAATGAAAGGTTCTAAGATACCACAATATCTGAAGGATCTGGAGACCAACTGGCCTAGGCTTGTACCGAAATACACCAGGTCTAAGTCATTGAAAGATGTGCTCTTTAAAGCAGATTGCAAGCATATTGAGAACATCAATACTGGGGAGAACGAAGAGAAATACGACGACAGCGACGACGACGAAGAAGAAGAATATGATGATGAAGGAGGTGAAAATTGTATTCACTGCGATCAAACCAAAATTATCCGCAGAAAGCCGCGGGACATGCGTGTGCATTATGGCCTTATTGCATCTGGAAACCAAGTGATTAAAGATGCACTGTTTCGGGATGAGATCAACAAGAAACTTGGCGGCAAAGTTCTCTGCTTTGAAATGGAGGCAGCAGGATTAATGAATGACTTTCCATGCCTTGTTATCCGAGGTATCTGTGACTATGCAGATGCACATAAGAACAAGAACTGGCAGGAACACGCAGCAGCTGTTGCAGCAGCATTTGCAAAAGAGCTTCTTTTGTTAGTGCCAGCGCAGGAGGTGGAGCAAATGCCTACAATCAAACGTGAGATGCCGTTAATCTCCTAAACTGCTGCTTAGTCTTTCTATGTCATCAATGACTTGAAATATGACTGTGGATAGTTGCCTGTCAACGTAGTGAATATATTAAACCTCCATTGCTAACAAGTTGAGGTTTTATCAGAGTTAGAAAGTCGACTCGAAGGAGTGTCTAATACTGTCAATGAGATTCGCTTTCATCAGCAAGACCATCAACGACACCAAGAACATCAAACCATTATCGATTGGCTTACACCAGTGAATTATGCCACTCAGCAAAATGACTTCATTGCCCAACGACAACAAGGTACTGGCGAGTGGGTGTTAAAATCAAGCGAATTTCAGCACTGGCTTGAACAAACTAATCAGACTCTTTTCTGTCCCGGTATTCCAGGAGCGGGCAAGACAATTATCACATCTATTGTTGTACACCACCTCCATGATCAATTTCAAAACAACCCTTCTGTTGGTATTGCATATCTATATTGCAACTTCAAGCAGCAAGATGAACAGAGGCCAGTCGATCTTATTATAAACCTCTTAAAGCAATTAGTCTTGGGACAGTCTACCATACCTGAAGCTGTCAGGGGCCTGTATAACCGACATAAGCCTAAACAAACCCGTCCTTCGCTGAATGAAATCCGAAATACACTTCACCAAGTCGCAGCTCTCTATTCAAGAACTTTCGTTGTCCTTGATGCACTGGATGAATGCCAAGCCGCTCCTGATGGACGGGACATGTTAATACGAGAGATCTTTGACTTTCAAGCGAATACTAAGGCAAACCTTTTCGCAACATCAAGACTAATTCAAGAAATTGAAGCAAAGTTTCAAAGAGCTGTGAGACTTGAAATTCGCGCTAATGATACAGATGTGCAGAGGTATCTACATGATAAACTGCAGAATTGCCCTTCTTTGATTTCACAGAACAATTCTCTTCAAGAAGAGATTCAAAAAAAGATTACCAAGGCAGTTGATGGAATGTATGTACCATCCTTGTTGGAAAGAATATAAATCCAGTAAATTAAAACTATCCAGGTTTCTGCTCGCGCGGCTCTATGTTGACTCTTTAGCATGCAAGACTACAGCTAAGGCAATAAAGGGGGCACTTCAAGAGTTGGAGAGCACGTCTGAGGCTACAAGCGATGAAAAAAGGTCAAAAGCATTAGATAATGCTTATGAGCAAGTTATGCAGCGAATCCAGGGTCAGGTACAAGAACATCAAGTGCTTGCTAAGCAGGTTTTATCATGGGTTTCTTGTGCTAAGAGACGCCTAACATCTGCTGAACTTCAACACGCCATTGGCGTAGAGGAGAATACATCTGAGTTTGATAGGGATAATATTGCGGATATCGGACTTATTGTCTCAGTATGCGCTGGCTTGGTGATTGTTGATAAAGAGAGTGACATAATCCGTTTGGCCCACTACACCACACAAGAATACTTTGAGCGAACATGGGAACACTGGTTTCCCAATGCTCATATTGATATGACGAAAGTATGCGCTACCTACTTGTCATTTGAAGTTTTCAAGGAAGGATACTGCCCAACAGAAGATGCTTTGACAGAAAGATTACAGTCATATATTCTTTATAGTTATGCATCAGCAAATTGGGGATACCACGCGGGCAAGTTTTCCATTGAAGGAGAAAGGCTGATAATGAACCTTCTTGAGGACACTGCCAAAGTATCTGCCTGTAGCCAGGCTATGTCTTACAAAGAATCTGGGTGGTTTGACTTTGTGACTGAAACTGGAATGACAGGCCTGCACCTTGCAGCACATTTCGGACTTTGGAGACCCGCGTCAATTCTGCTTGAGAAAAATGTCAATGTTGAATCTCGGGATAAAAGTGGCCAGACCCCGCTCTCATTGGCAGCTATAAAGGGACAAGGGGCAGTGGTGAAGCTGCTGCTCGAGAAGAATGCCAATATTGAATGTCAGATTGATGGTGGCTGGACCCCGCTCTTATTCGCAGCCTGGAGTGGACATGAGGCAGTGGTAAAGCTGCTGCTTGAGAAGAATGCCAATATTGAATCTCAGGATGAAGATGGCTGGACCCCGCTCTTATTCGCAGCCTGGAGTGGACATGAGGCAGTGGTGAAGCTGCTGCTTGAGAAGAATGCCAATATTGAATCTCAGAATAAATATAGCCAGACCCCACTCTTAGTAGCAGCTAGTGAGGGACATGAGGCAGTGGTGAGGCTGCTGCTTGGGAAGAATGCCAATATTGAATCTCAGAATAGTAGTTAGCGGACAACGGTAATTCAACTGAGTAAATAATTTGATGGGTATGGTATCCAATGTAAAGTCGAAATTGTCTGTTTTGAGTTCTTTTCCACTCCAGTAAGAGCCACGTGAAATATATGCCTTAATTTGGTATAAGGGCTTCACATTAAGTTGGCCCGTTGGGGAATGGAGGATGCGCAACTGGGTGGCAATTTTGGAGTATAATGTCCTGGTAAGGACAATTAGTGTAAGTGACTATACAGTACAAGTTACAAATTACGTGATCAAAGAAATAATGTCTGATTCTTTATCTATGTGAGAGAATGAAAATATGTATAGACAAAATGCAGCTCTAGAGCTAGGCAAAAAGTGGTATTAAAGACGATAAGAAGCAGTACTTTAAGAGCGATTTTTCTATCGTTTGGTAGCGGTATAAAACTCTGCAATAAATGAAGCAACTCGTGGTTGGGAACTGCTGTATACCCATGGTTTTGCAGAATACCAGCTGGTCGGAGAATAAAGTGAGATTGCAAGTAGCGGTATGCTATGAGAGGTAGAGAGTTGCCGACCCTTCGTAGGTCTGGGGGATAGCTATGGCCTTTATATACATTAGGGGTAGCTACGCTAAGTCCCTTCCAAGTGGAGCTATAAGGTTCCCCTACTAGTTGTAGCTTTCCCCTCTAGCAAACCGCTGTATTCAATATCACAAAAGCACTATCTGGCCCTGGCGATAGTGGTAAACCACGTCAACAGATACTTACTCTACTTTCTTGCTATCATGCTCCTATCTCTTATCAAAGTATAACATCATAAGGAAAGCCCAATAAAGCAATCAAACAGCTGACAAACGCTTGTTAGTGTCATCTAGGATATTAGTTGATTTTTGTTTGATAATAGTGATACAATCACGTGAATTGAACCCAATTGGAGTATTGCATCTTAGATGTTGTGTTGTGTAACATTATGAGGTTTCACTTGTATAGTAAGAAAGCTTATCATATAAGGGCTAAGCTGGGAATGAAGCACATTATGTTAATGTTTATACTAAGATTTATCATGACACAAGACATCCCAGGATACCAGGTCCCAGAGTCTCGACACTTGAAGAAAGCGACATCACCACTCGTGTGCTTAGTGGATCGTGCCGAAGATTCCAGAACTTGTATGATCATGACCTATACTGTAAGATAGGAATGTCAGCTGTATTGAAATTACATAGTGTTTCTTGCCAAGCAGTTTGATTAACACCTTAATCGCATGTGGGCTAGTGTTCTTGACCCAGCTAGGGCTTGGGAAAGGAGCTTCGTAAGTACTGGGTGGCGAGGGCGATTGGGCACTGTAAAAAGTAAGACCCGCCAAAATACGGAGGCTGGCCCCGTTGGGTAGGGGCTTATACATTAAACCCATGGGTACTCGGCGGGTACCCGTGGGTTGACATACCTAAACCATAGGTTTATGGTTTGGGTGCGGGTTTACGATCTGACCCCGCTGGTCGGGTACGATTCCTGATGTTGGACCTGAACCCGACCCGTGGCGAGGTCTATGTGCGACCGAGTTCAGATTCTATAGATCCCCGCACATATCGGCGTCCCTGGAACGAGGTCGTCAATGAAGCCGTACGTGAGGGTACATAGTAGATAGGGGAGGCTGTCTGCCTGGCCGCTGCGGTCAAATGACACACGCCGCCGCATCAAGGACAGATGGGCCAGAGAGTGGAAGACAGAGAAAATGGGCAGAACAACACAAAGCCTGATGGAATATCTATATAAGTCCGCCCAAACCGCACGCATCCATTATCATTCAGATGCGGACACATAGAAACGGGCAAAAGCGCTTTATTTACAAAATTAAAGCGTCTGACTCGGATTAGTGTCACTGCGAAGGGGGCTCCCGAGGCTGGAGGCATGTTCTTCTCCAGTGCCCGCTCTACAATGAGCTTAGGAATTTTATGCTGGATAGGTTAGACGCCGGGGTCCGAGGCATATTGGAATGAGATGGAATCGTATCCCATCCACAGGCGATCCGCGACGTCGCCTAATTTATGCACCAAACGGGATTGCTGAGCCAGTTCCGTAAAATGGAGGTCTAGGCGAGACCGTCACCGCTACATGGGGATAGATGTGGAAGACGATGTATAAATAGTCACATTAAGGTAGGTAACTGGTCAGACCACCGTAGTACGTATACCAATGATTACCTACTAAGAGGAACTAGAAGGGGTGGGAGACGAAGGCTGGCGAGGGAGGGAAGGAGATAGGCGCCAGGGGCGGGGCAAGCAGTTTTAGTTGTGATTAAAATTTTTTTAATTATTTCATTCATGTGAGTGCTATTGGCGTTCTACAGTTAGATCCTAAGCTCTTCGACGTATCTGCATAGCTAGACTTTCAAGAGTTAGGCTCTACCAAGTCAATAGAATCTTGATTGGTTAATTGAGGGCTACCAGGAACCAGGGCCTCCAGGAGAGTTGCCGCCGCTGTGTGCAAGAGGCAGCTTCGTTCTAGTCGGGACGACAATGGAGATAACCGTCTCAGGGGGTCATTTACCAGCAGGGCGGAGCGATTTGGAGAACAAGTATGTGGGAACAAAAAGCGTAAGGCTAGAGTTGGGCCCTATCATCGACATGTTACGTGTACAGCACCTGCTCCATCTAATGGCTCCCTCACCAACTGCAATATCTTTGGACGTGGTATCCTCACGATTAAATCAGATGGACCAATACCTGCCTACTTTTTCACCTTTATGCTACCACCAAACTACTTCCGCCCCATCTTCCTGTCTCCCTTTTCATTTCCAGCATGGTAAGGATCGGTCGAGAGCTCCGGCCTCTTCAGGGCTTTCTATTAACTAGCCCAGAAACCAGAGGCAGTATTCCTCAGAGGAGTATACACTTTTTATAAGACTGAAGGAAAGAGAGGATATGTCGTGGTCAGAGATTGCCGAATGCTCTCAGGTCGAAGCGTATCATCGCTTCAAGGCCACTATGCAACCAGACTAAGGCACACGATTTACTGTTCATCAAAGAAAGCGGCAAAAGGGGGTCGATAAGATAGAGCTTTATCATGCACCGGTATCTTATGTTAAATGCGAGTTTTAATATGTATTGTAATAGTAGTAAAGTAATGATTGGTCGAGGTACGGCTTCAAGGACACGTCACGACCTGCAGAAAGACCCCGCGTCGCTCAATGATCTGATCCGACTAGAGACGAGCTTTCGTCTGGGGTCTTTCGAAACTGACCACATCAGAAATTCGTTTGTGTTAACCCCACTATCCCCAAACAAACAAATATGGCTTTATCCGAGAGGTCCTACGAAGCAGCTTCCGGTCTTGAGATCGAGCCCCGGACGCTACATCCTCAATCCTACGATCGACCCCCTCCATCCTATGACGACGCTGTCAAAGACTTGCCTCCAGATTACTCTACGCTTTCGCTGTTAGCCAAACAGAAAGATTTGTGTGGTGATTGCACACCCTCGATAGAAGCGAAAGGTTCCAATGTCAGATCTAAGTTCCCTCTGGTCAGTTTAGATCACTTATCTGGTATACGGGAACATGCAAAGAAAAAGAAAAAAACATATCAAGCCGCACAACGGAGTACCCCACCGCCGAATGACGACGGCGATAAAATCCCACCCCCTGATGAAAACCAGAATGGTGGAGACGGTGGAAGCAATGCCGGTGGGTCGGGACATGGAAATGGGGACAACGGTGGTGACGGAGGCGGCAGTGATGGTGATGGCGGAGATGACGATGGTTGGGGAGATGCGTGGAATACAACCAGCAAGAAAAAAGATAAGAAGAAGAAAAAGGAAGAAGAGCGGTTAGCCAAAGAAGAAGAGGAGCGGAAGGCCAAAGAGGAGGAGGAGAAAAAGGCCGCCGAAGAAGCAGCAGCTAATGCTAATAATGATGATCTTAGTCGGGCGAACGACGGTAGTGGAAATGGTGATGATTCGTGGGCGGACTTTGCAGCTGCAGGGAAGAAGAAGAATAAAAAGAAGGATCAAGTACGATTCCCCTTTTGTTCTAGAGTCTCATCTCTAACCCTTTTATAGGGTCCTACTATGACTGATACCGACCCCCCTGCCAATTCTTTTCGGGATATCAATTTAGGTGGTAATATATCACCAAATCTAAGCCGAGACTCCCTTGGAGGCAAATCTACTGGTGGGCGCCTAGATCTTGGCGGATGGGATAAAAGTTGGAACCCGAGACGTAAATGGGGTCTCGACTCTCTCGGTGGCATAGGCACGGCCAAGACAGAGAATACCAAGCCATGGTCATTTGGCTCAGTGGCTGATCCATTGAATACTTCAGTCGGATTTGGTTTTGGTTTCGAAGCCCCTCCTGGTCCTGGCAATGGAGATGCCAGTACACAAGAAAAGAAGAATGACTGGGGCTTCCTGGATACTAAAAAGGCCGAACCAGAGCAGAAGGTAGCTGATGACGATGATTGGGGCTGGGGCGTGCCAACTAAGAAAGACAAGAAAAAGAAGACCAGCGCTATCTTCGAGGAGTTGGAACCAGTAGTGGGAAATCTTCCAGTAGTCGCAGACCCATCACCAGAGCCTATCCCTGAGGAGAAAAAGGAAGAGGATGACTGGGGAGGCTGGCATGTCCCTACAAAGGAGAAGAACAAGAAGAAGGGAAAAGGTGCAGAGCCCGAGCCTGTGCTTGAGCCTGAGCCCGAACCAGAAACCCCAACACAGGCTGAGCCAGAGCCAGTAGTCTTGTCCAAGAAGGCTAAGGAGAAAGACAAGAAGATATCGAGGGCTGTTGTTTCTGAGCCTCGGCCGCCTATTTCAGAGCCTGTGGCACCCGGACTATCAGCAGAGCTTGAACCTGAGCCAGTATTTGAGCACGAGCCCGAGCTCGAACCCAAATCAATATCAGGGTCTCGAATGCTTGAAGAGCAGCAGAAAGCCGGAGACGAGAGAAGCACCACAAAAGAAGCCGTTCCCAGCAATGAAGGAGGCCTTCACAGGCCATATTATGGTAAGAAAAATGGAACGGTGGTCCGGTCAAAAAATGCGGAGAGTACTAGTATGCCAATGGAGGCAGCTGTGTCCAGGGAGTATACCCAAGATGCACCCATGGCAGGCGATGATAATATCCGATCTGGCTCTACGAGCGATCCCGACTATCAGTACGTCCATCCAGTCTACAGTACTTAAAAGTACATTCTCACTAATATGGTCCCAGTGATTACGAAGGGCAGACGGTGACGGTTCTCATTGGCCTTAGCAGAAGATGTTATACAATCTCAATGTCCTTGCTCGATAAGTTTCCGAGTCTATATTCTCTCTTGAAGACCAATCCAGCTCCAAAGACACAAGATACCTTTAAAAGCCTCTCACTGCCTGATGTGGATGAGAATATTGGGCACACTTTGATGCATTACCTTTACACCGGGGATTTCCAACTTCGAAAAGCATCATCTACTAGCGACATATCTAAACGACAAGAGTATTATAACCAGAGCGTCCTAGCATACTGTACAGCCTTAAACTACGGGCTATGCGGGCTGCAAGGTCAGGCGAAGAGATTTATAGAAGTGTTCGGCCCAAGTGTTTACATTCACGACATTATTGATCTGACCAGGCAAGTCTACGGGACAGTTAGAGATGATCAATGGTATTTCGAGCACCTCACGGCAAGAATCCAGGCAGCCTTCGATGCAGATGAAAGGATATTTTTGGAGGAAAAGTTTATTGATGGATTTGATGAAACTTCACCACTCAACAAGTTTCTTGTAGGGATCATGTCACGCGCGTACTACACCAAGTTATGCTCCCTACGGTAAAACTGTCAGCAACTGGTGATACAAACCCCGACACACTGTGCGAACCATATTACAGTATTCATACAGTGGGTAAAGTCTTTTGGGAGTTTACGTGAACAAGAGAAGGCTCTCGGTTGTTATTCAGTCTCTTCCAATTCCAATACACCTCCACTCAGGTTCCTGAACGTCCCTGATCTTCTTAGTACTATACATCTTGTAGCCCGTTGGCCTACTACGCTCTGAAAGCGTTAACTACCACCCGCCGATTACGTATGCCGAGGAAGCCTTTACTGAAACATCACCCTTTTCTGATAAATAAGTTGTCTTCGTTGTCTACGCTTCTTATTTTCAACTCGACATTTGCAGTCTTCATGTCCACTGTCCACAAAGAGATTTTACCTCTCATTTCTCCATTTTTATATTCTCATATTTAGGCGAGACAGGTAAGTTGCTAGTCATAGTAAAAAAAAAAAAAAAAAAAAAAAACCTACCTAAGGCACTGTATAATTTTTTTGCAACACGCCTCCAATACTACTATGCTGCCAGTCAGAAACACATACTATAAAAAGTACCGCAGGAGCGGCTCTCGACCTGGAATTATATACTCTGCCTATCAAATGGCATATGCAGCAGATTATCGAGGAAACGCCAGTCCGGATCCGCACCGGACCAGAGGTGGGGTCGTTCACGTAGGTGTCTACAGAGATATTCTAGCATCAAGGGGTGATGCTGCGCTGTGGGCCGACCCGTTTTGACGGGACTTCAACTTCGCCAAAGCATTCTAAATTCGAGCGAATGCTACTCACAGTTTGTCTGGTGCATTTGGCTTCATACGCTGTCTCATTTGTGATCAGTGACATATCATTTATCAATTCCTGAATGATAAGTTTTCGTTTCCATGGTGGAAGATTTGGTGCCATAGGAACAGTAGAAGAATAGATGATCCTGTATGGCCGTAACAAACACTCGCGGGGATGGTTGCCTGGCGGGCCTGACTGGCAGGAAGAGAGGAATAGGCGATTATCGGATAATAGTAATTCCTGTTCCGATACGTCAGTCAAGAATTAATACCAGATATTCTCCCCAAAAGTTTTGTTAGAATAGAAATCAAGCTCTAAATAAAGTTGTATATCCAGAAAATATATATAAAGATATGCTCTCAGTCTAGGACTCTATTGAATTGAACTGATTATAACGTATATGCCCATGGCTAGGCGACCGGGCATTGAGTGCACAGCCTTGCAGGAACACGTACCTAGTTGTTACCCCTCCTTGCCCAGTCTGGTGAACTGTGAACAGCATTTTGCATTCTTCTACCCATAACAAAAAGTTTTCCTGTTTAGTTTTGTGGCTTTCCAGAGCAAATGGTCGTGACCCTGTTATTTTGTTGCTAGTTTTAACCCATCATGGCATCATTGACGCACGATCAGTACACAATCGCGTGGATATGCGCCTTACCGCTGGAGATGGCGGCGGCCCGCGCCATGCTGAGCAAGGCTCACAGTCCCCTGCGTGACGCTTCCCCCGGTCCGAATGCCTATGAACTTGGCGAATTGAACGGCCATTTTATAGTCATTGCCTGCCTACCAGCTGGCGTGTATGGAAAAGTGTCTGCCGCGGCCGTCGTATCTCGCATGCGCTCAATCTTTCCTCGGCTGCAGTTTGGACTGATGGTGGGAATTGGAGGCGGGGTCCCGGGCAAAAGCCATGATATTCGATTAGGCGATGTGGTGGTCAGCAAACCGGTTGGAAAATATAGTGGGGTAATACAGTATGATTATGGCAAAGCAGTTCAAGGTGGGCAATTCGAGCCAACAGGGACCTTAAACAAACCACCACAGACTCTTTTGGCACATATAGGTCAACTTGAGGCAAAACAAATGACCGGGAGCGAGGATGATATTTCAAAAATAGTGTGGGAGGTACTGGAGCGAAACCCCAATATGAGTGAAAGATTTTCACCCCCAGAACAGCACACAGATTTTCTTTTTCATTCCTCCTATCTCCATGGCGATAAAGAAGACAGCTGTGACAAGTGTGACAAAGAGCAATTAGTTAAACGACAACCGCGTGATACCAGGACACCTTATGTTCACTATGGATTGATTGCATCGGGAGATAAGGTAATAAAGGATTCGGAAACACGAGATCGTCTCGCTCAACGGCATGGGATACTCTGCTTTGAGATGGAAGCTGCAGGCCTTATGGATGAGCTTCCGACACTTGTGATCCGAGGAATATGCGACTATTGTGATTCTCATAAGCAGAAAGAGTGGCAAGGATATGCAGCTTTGACAGCAGCAGCCTATGCAAAATTATTGTTATCGGTCGTGCCTGTTTGCCATATGGATTTTGACTTGCTAAAGAGCCATAAAATGCGGCACTGGCTGGTCTCGCTACCAAGAAACCCAGGATTTGTCGGTCGCGAGAATGAAATAACAAAGCTAGAAGAACTAATCACAATGCAAGATGGGCCTAGGAGGGTTGCAATCACAGGTTTGGGAGGGGTTGGAAAAACACAAGTGGCCCTAGAGATAGCACACCGTATACGGGACCGAGATAAGGACTGCTCAATTTTCTGGATTCCATGTACAAGCCATGCCATGATCGAGCAGACATTCTTGAATATTGCACAGACACTTGAACTTCGTGATGTGAAGCCAGGAGAAGTTAAAGAACAGATTAAGAAATATCTCACATCCAAGCGTGCTGGAGATTGGCTTTTAATTTTTGATAACGCGGATGATTATGAGATGTGGCTAACATCTAGTGACACAGCTCCAGCCCTTGAGGATCTTCTTCCTGAGAGTGAACAAGGCCGTATTCTATTCACTACCCGAAACCGAAAACTCGCCATGAAGCTGGCACCATTCAATACCGTTCCGATTCCAGACGTGGATGAAGAAACCGCACTGAGAATTCTAGAAACAATATCGAAAAATGAAGATTTACTCAAAGATAGTGCGATATCAGCTACTCTTCTAGAGCGACTAGCCTTTCTACCTTTGGCAATTACACAGGCAGCCGCATATATTATCGAAAACGGTATAAATCTATCTACCTACCTCACACTACTCCAAAAGCAGGAGCAAGATGCTATTGAACTCCTTAGTGAAGACTTTAGAGATCCAGGACGCTATAGGGATATTCAGAACCCCGTGATGAGTACCTGGTTAATATCATTCAAACAGATTCAGCATCAAGATCAATTGGCAGCGGATTACCTATTTTTCATGGCCTGTATCGATCCACGAAATATTCCCGAGTCACTTCTTCCTCCCCAAGCATCCAAGAAACAAAGACTTGACGCTTTGGGGCTCCTGAATGCATACTCATTCACCAACAGCCAAGGAATGGGTATAAATATGCACAGACTTGTGCATATTGCAACCCGGAACTGGCTTAGAAAGGAGGGACTGTTTAGTGACTGGATCGAGAGGGTGGCTGAACATATGCAGAAGGCTTTTCCGGATAATCACTACACTAATAGAGGACTTTGGCGAGAATATCTCCCTCATGCTTTAGCACTTCTGCATGAACGTGAATTTATTATACAGCAGGAACAATACATCGATTTGGTTGAGAAGATCGCAGATTGCCTTGCTAGTGATGGAAGATATCACGAAGCAGAGGTATTATACAACGAGCTAATGAGGATTCATCAGGAGAAATATGGTCCAGAAAACCCCTCCACTCTGACCAGCATGGCGAACCTGGCATCAACCTACCGGAATCAGGGCCGATGGAATGAAGCCGAGAAGCTG